CCCTCCTCCTCCGCCTCGTCCTTCTCCCGCTCCCACCACAAGGAGGATGTACAAGGAGGCGGGAGGAAGGAGGAACAGGGGAGATATGCGGGGGCAGGCGGACACACGCCTGAAAAACACGACTGTCGGCATGCTTCGCACGAGTTGCTGTTTTGAGATGGGCTGGTGGGGATACGCGAAGCGTAAAGAATTGGTTTTTGAAGGATTTTGGCATTTGCTTCTTTCTGGCCTTCCGATGGCCCGAGACGGCCCAAGTCTCCAAAGATCGCCCCAAGATCACCCAAGAGGCCTCCAAGATGGCCCGCAGAACGGCCCAAGAGGCCCCCAAGACGGCCCCAAAGAGCCCCAAGAGGCCTTCGAGATGGCCCCAACCGGTCCTCCAAGACTGCCCTGGAGCACCCAAGAGGGTCCCAAGTCGGCCCAGAGAGGCCCCCACGACGGCTTCCGACAGCGTCGGACGGACCAGGAATGCCCTGAGACGGCCAAAGAGGCCTCCCAAGATGCCTCGAAGAGGCTCTCAGGAAGCTTCCAGGAGGTCCTAAGAGTGCCCCCAGAGGCACCCAAGAAGCCTCATCCTTTTTCCTCCTCCTCCTCCTCCTGATCTTCTCGGCCATTCCCCCCCAAGTGCCCCCTGAAGGGTTTCCATAACGGCTGGGGGAACACATGGTCCGATAGCTTGCAGGAGCTCTTGCCAAAATGCTCGGCCGGCCACATGGGCAATTCCAACAGGCTGGGGTTGGCGTTGATTCGCCGTAGGCGTCCTCGATACAAGGAAGATGGATGGAGGATTGAAAGGGGGACGAGGCATGGTGGCGGAGGAGGGGGACGAGGAGGAGGAGGAGGAGGAGGAGGAGGAGGAGGAGGAGGAGGAGGAGGAGGAGAAGGGAAGATGACGAAGGAGGGAAGGGCAGGACGAGAAGGGGACGGGAGGAGGCGAAGGATGAACGGAGCCAGTGACGAGGATTACGATGAGGCGAGGGACGAGCAGGCGACGGCTACGAGGCAAAACGACCTCTGGGCAGACGCCTCTCCAGGCGTCCGACGACATGTTTCTTCCGAGGCGCGGCCGCAGAGGTCCCGACCCCTTTTCTGCGGGGGCAACTTTTCGCCCAGGACTCGTCTTTGATGGCAGGGCCCCTGAGGCCAAGCTCGAGGAAACACGCCTGGACCGAACAAAAACATCAGGCGGCGCGACTGGGGGGGCGGTAAGAAGGGGCGGGCCTTCTCAGAAGGCTCTGACGTCCCCCGGCGTTTTCAGAGCCTTCCCCGAAGACGCAGAAAACCTCTCAGAAGGCGCGACGGCTTCTGAGAAGTCCCGCCGCCTCCTGAGAAGGCCTTCTCTTTCTCCCTTCGCCCCCTCGCTCGCCGCCGACTGATAGCGGGCCCCTGGGGCCGAACTCGAGGAAATTTGCCCGGACTGAAAAAACATGCCGTCGGAGATCTCGACAAACTATAACAATACCCCTGACCCTTAAAGAGGGGACCTACATGAGGAGGGGGAAAAACGTTAGGGGACCTCAGTGAGGCCACTTCTTCCTTGTGTCCTTAGGGTTAGGGGTTCTTTTGTTTTGTTGTGGACACTCGAATTATCTGGGATAATCTCGGTCGAGGGTAACTCTGGTTTGGGCCCCCGAGGCGCGAAATCGTAGCTACCTCTGACCGCCCCCCAGCCCTGATAATTCCGGGAGAGTTGGACGCCCAAATGGCCCAGGATGACTGCGGTCCAGGGCAACTGCGGTCTGGGCCCCCACGGCGCAAATCTGCAGCTCTGCTCCTGATCACCCCCCCACCAGCCCTGATGATTCGAGGCTCTGAATGTTCTCGATGAGATCTTCGGGTCGGGCGAAAGGGGGGGATAGCAAAGGGGGGTCTGAGAATTAGCTCACGTAGCTGATTTTCCCGGCGCCAGAGGCGGTTATGTATCGAGGAATGGGCCCCTCAGTGGGGCCGAAACCAGCTGCATGCAGCAGATTTCGTACCCCCCTCTTTCCCTATCCCCCCCTTTCGTTCGGCCTTGATGATTCGAGGCTCTGAATGTTCTCGATGAGATCTGGGCCCCGCCCGCAGCTGCAGCGTGGTGCTGGCGCTCGCCTGGGCCGGTTGGAGCTGCTCTGCGCCGGGCGCCGGGCGCCGGCGTCCGTGCCGCACCTTTTCTGGGCGGCGGGCACCCGGGGGGACGCGGAGGGAAGGCGGGGGAGGCTTCGTCGGGAGGCTGCGTCTTCCCGCTCTCCTGAGGATCGGCGATTGCCTGTGTCTGCGGTTCCCCGCCTGAGAGGTGGTGGAGGGAGGGGGAGGGCTTCTTGGGAGGAGGCTGCTTCTGTCGGGGGGCCCAGGGACATACAAACATACATTGACACACATCCCAGGGCCCCCCATACTTTTCAATATTTTCTGGAGTCTCGTGCTCCCCTCCACTTCCAAGGTTTCCAACATTTTCCAGGAAATCGACGATTGATATTGTCTGTGTGTGTGTGTTCCTTTTCCCTCCTGAACGGGGGTGGAGGGAGGGGGGAAGGCGTCTCATAAGGGGTAAGACGACGGGACGAGGAGGCCGCCAACACTCTTCAAAACTGTTCCAAGAGGCTCCGCCAGGCCCGCAAACATCTCTCAAAACGCCCATAAGAAGCCCCACACAATGCCCAAGAAACCCACGATGCATCAACCGTGGACATCACTTATCGTCTGGGGGTCGGCGAAATGGCATTAGCTCTTGAATAAAACGAGGCCTGGACGAGGATAAAATCTCGTGAGGATAAATCCCATATCTCTGGCTCTGGAAGATGTCGCGGGCGCCGTGGCCTTCTCAGAACGTTCCGGAACGCTCTGAGAGCAACCCGAAGGCTCTGGAACGGATTTACCCTCGTCCCAGCCCCGTCCGATGGAGGCTGCTTCTAAGAAGCCCTCCCCCCTCCCTCCTCTCCCCTTCTGCGCGTGGCTCACACCTGGGCGACGAAACGAAAGGGGCCTTACCCGAGACGACATAGCGACCCTACGTGGTGGCTTACGCGGGCCGCCAGCGCGGCACGCCACTCTGGAAGCGAGGGCACTTGCGCGCGACCTTACGCGGGCAGCTTACGCGCCAATGTCGGCGTAGACGACCCCCTTTTTTGGCGGCGCGCAGAGGGGGGTAGGGGGAGGGGGGAAGGCTTCTTAGAAGGAGGCCGCTTCTCAGAAAGCGGTGGCCCTCCATCCGTAGACAAGGCCCGCCCCTTCTGAGAAGCAGAGGCGCTTCTACGAAACCTTCTCCCTCCCCCTGCCCCCCTCTGCTGAAGGGGCCCTGGGACACACAAATAAATACACACAAATAAAAGGATTCCCCATATTTTCCCATATGTTATGGGTTTCTGTCTTCCCCCCCACTTCCCATATTTTCGCATATTCTCTGGGGAATCGACGATCAATTGTGTCTGTGTGTTTTTTCCCCTCCTGATCTGCGCGTCGCCGAGTTTTTTGGGGCGTCGTCCACCTGCCGTCGCAGCTCGTCAGCACGTCCAGCTGGGCGCCCATCTGGCGCCCGCCAATCAGGTCGGGCGAAAGGGGGGGATAGCAAAGGGGGGGGTTGAGAATCAGTCACGTAGCTGATTTTCCTGGCGCCTCCCGGCGCCAGAGGCGGCTATGTATCGAGGACTGGGCCCCTCGGTGGGGCCGAAACCAGCTGCATGCAGCAAATTTCGTAACCCCCCTTTCCCAATCCCCCCATTTCGTGCGGCCCGAGCCAAGCGCGCGTAGCCGCGCCCTGGAGAAGGACGCCCGCGCGCGGGCCGCGGCGCCGCTGCGAGCAGCGCTGCGTTCGCGAGCGGCGTCGTCGACGACGTCGTCGTTGTCGTCGTCGTCGTCGTCGTCGTCGTCCTCGTCGTCGTTGTCGTCGTCGTCATCGGCAGGACGTCGTCATCGTCGTCCTCGTCCTCGCGTCGTCCTCGTCCTCGTCCTCGTCTTCGTCGTCCTCGTCCTCGTCCTCGTCCTCGTCGTCGTCGTCGTCGTCGTCGTCGTCGTCGTCGTCGTGGACAGAAACGGCGCGAGGCCGCCGCCCCCCCCCACCGAGGCTCTGGCTCTGCCGCGCCTCGTGCGTGAGGCGCCGGCCGCCATCGTCCTTGCGCTCTCGCGCCGCCCCCGCTGGCTGGGAAGGACCAACTCTGCGGCCCACGGAGCGCGAGCAGCGACCATCTTGGCGCCCCCCCCGTGGGTGATCTGGCTCCAGGACCTCCTCCTCCTTCTTCTCATGTCTCCAGGGCTGAGAACTCCAAGAGGAGAGACGCACGATCCAGACTGGCAGAGCGCAAACTGGTGTGGAGTGCCCAGCTGCCTATCACCACAGTTGCCCTCACCGACACCGCAACGCCCCCTTCCACAATCACTGTTGCCCAATGGGCCGGCCGCCTGTTAAGAAGACGCAGTGACAAGTGTAGTGGGGGAACGTCTCCCACGAGCTAGCCTCTCGCTCGATCGCCCCGTTGCTACCAAGCTGACCCATGAAGGGGTGTAACATCTCAATTCGCGAAGAAAAACATGACCCTCTAGAAATCAACAGAGATGCTCTTGCTGAAACTTGTCGGCCGTGCGCTGTTGTAGAGAAACGCGACATGGGTATGTGACCATATCATGTCATGCTGCGTGGCACAAGACAACCATAATCGATCGAATGTACTTCTGTGGGAGCATTGCGTAGCTGAGCACGTGGAATGATGCTCGGACAGATGAGCACTTGGCCAGCATTATGCTGCGCGTTTTTCGCTGAGCTCGCAGATGCCTCAAGTAGATTGCCGTGTTTATATATGACAAAGGGCGGCCACAAGCCATGCACGCCCCCTGTAGCAACGTGCCGCGTCAGAAATGTTGGCGCCAGGTCGACTGCACGCAAGAGTGACCCCAGGCAAGAGTGACCTCTGCTGCGCGGCTTGAGGGGGCCGCGGGTAGGCAACATCCAAGCGCGCAAGCCAATGCTGGGACGACCAGTGTGAGCCGGCACCACAGGTTACTCTGGCGAAGGGCCACTCTTACGCGTAGCCGATAGGGGCGAGGTGGTACGCAATCACAATCCAAACCCCTGGCCAAGTGCTGATGCACTATACCGGTAACTACTGTCTATCTCACACCCGAACGCACGCACGACCTGACGCGTGCTGACGGGGACGGGGCGGACAAACAGTAGCAAAATCGGTGGGGGGAGGTGGAGGGGAAGGAAGATAGTCAACCCGTGTAACAAGGACGCACGATACGGATGTAAGGGCTTTGGGAGGCCATGTCGACACTTTGCGAGCGGGGCGCGGCCAGCGAAAGCGGACAAGGATGGGACGAAGGGGAAGGATGTAAGGGTAACCTTGGAAAGCTGCTCAAATTTGAACTGCGGGTTGACAGTCGGGACTCCAATGCAGTCGAGCCCCACCTCGTTGCCATAAGGGGATAGAGTCCTGAAAACAACGCACGAAGGGAGGTAAGGGTGCTTTGGCCGGTATGGAAGGTTCACGTCGCAGTGACGTCGGCGTCGGTTTCTCACACCGCGTGGATCGCTCAGCCTTTGCACGACACCGCGTGGATCGCTCAACCTTGAAGGAGCGGGCCCTCACGACAGCTTCTGGACCACTGGCGGCGTTCAGCATCGAACGCCAGAACGTACCGAAGACTGGCCGCCCCACTCCTCCTCATGCAGCCAAGTCTCATCGAACTGCCAGAAGCCAAGGGCTGCCTGGACAGGATTCGTCCTGTCATGACCAACCTGGAGCCCAAGGATTGACACGCCCAAGGCGATGATGATCGTGGGGACGTGCTCTCGGGAACTGGGAGGATCCTCAAGATCGGCATGCTGAGTGGGGGTGCTGCTTGTCACAGGGGTACTGCTTCAAAAGGGAGGAGTGCCGAAGCGAAGAGTGCCGGGCGCACCAGGCGCACAAGGGGTCTTGTACCGAGCAGCGCTTCCTTGGCCAGCAATAGCCCAAGCCTAAGGGCAAGCACACGAGCCCCGAACAAGGCGCACAAAGTCAACCGCGCAAGGCCTCCACACAAGACTTGCGCGAGTATTCTTTGTATCCAAAACAGAAAAACTAAACATGTCTCAGGGTGGTAACGCGGGGCTCCTCTCGGACGGGGCTCAGACGAGGAAACATCCGTTGATAGAGCGGTCCGGAACGCTCTCGGAGCGCCCTCGAACGCTCTGAGAAGGCCGCGGCGCCCGAGACGACCTCCAGAGACGGCGGATCTTAGAGATTCTCGATGTGTCCCCATCCGATTTGATCTCGCCCTGGCTTCGTCGTATCCTCCCCTTCCCCCCGCCATCCCCGCCCCCAGCCCTCCCGCTGGTGCCGGGGCAAGAAGACAGCCCACCGAGCGAGGCACGGGACGGGCGACTGGGGCAGAGCCCGCCCGCTCTGCCAGGGCCGCGCGGGGCTCAGCGGCGGCGCGACCTGGCGAGCTCTCCCCTCCAGACGGTACGGGGAGGGGAGGGAGGAGAGCGTTTTTTCGTTCGCGGCGATATCGACGTTAATTCTGGGAACGGGGGTGAGGGGGGGCGGGGCGGGGCGGGGGGGGGGCATGACGTAACGCCCCCGCCCACCACCGTGACTGACCGTGGTGCTGGACGCACTGTGGCAGTGCTGGGGACGCACCCGAAGGGGGATTGGAGGGGGGAGCGTTTCGCTATGGGGGAGGGGGGGAGCAGACCACACGTTATGGCCCAGAGGGTGGCAAACACTCTTGGCGGAGGAGCCAGGGAGGAGGGGCAGAGCGTGAGGGAGAGAGGAAGGAAGGCGGAAGACAACTTTCTAGATTATGTTCCGCTGCTTCAACGGTTGTCGCATATTTCGGACGACTTCGGTGGGTTTTCGGGAGGCTCCAGGACGAAGGGAGTTGGCCGGAAGGGGATGTGGAGGGAGTATTGGTTGAGGCAGCCATACTCTTTTCCTTGTTGTGTTTTTCCTCTTCCTCCTTCTTCTCTTCTTCTCCTCATCCTCCTCCTCCTTCCCCTCCTCCTCCTCCTCCTCCTCCTCCTCCTTTCGTCGCATCTTCATCGCTGCAATTGTCAATCCTGTCAACATCGTGCTCCTCGTCGCAAACGTCCTCGTCGTCTTCGCCCACGTCCTTTTCATCGCTGTAAACGTCGTCGTCGTCGTCGTCGTCGTCGTCTCGCGCGGCCTGGCGAGCCGCACCAGGCAGAGATCAGCTGCGCGGCCAGGCCACGCATAAGCGCCGCGTCCAGCTGCGCGCGCCACCAGCGCAAGCTGTTGCCAAGTAGCCGGTCCCTCCGCCCGCTCGCCGAGCCGCCCGAAGGTCTCGTGCGCCCTCGGCCACGCGCTGCGGCCGCGAGCAGGTGGGTACCTGTCGGCCTTCGCCACCTCAGCGGCCCGCGCGGTGCTGCCGGCTGCCCGAGAAGCTGTCCGCTGGTACTGGTCCAGCATGGGGCGGCGAATGGTGACGTCCACCAAACAGTCTGGGAGCTCAGGAATTCACCGCACGTCCAGCCATGCCTCGGAGGCCTGCTGGGAGAACTCCGGGCGAACACGTCCCGGCGGACTGGCCCACCGATCTCGGCCATGATGTCCGCGTACGCATCCGCAATGCCCTCGTGCCGGAGGTTCCGGAAGGGGCCGCACTCGCACGGCGCGGCGTGGTCGTCGTCCTGGTCCAGCAGATTCCCGCAGGCCTCGCTGGTTGACGCCTTCACATTGAGACAAATCGTGCCAGGCGCGTCAGGAGACGTGTCCGGCCCCTTGGGCCAGCACGATCCAGCTTGGCGAGATACCGGATGTGTGCAGAGGTGCAAGTAGGCACTGAGGAGATGCCGCTCTGGAGCCGCTGGGCGGAGGGAATCGGCCACCGCAGCGCCAGCCAGCGCGCAGGGCCGGCCGCGCCCCGAGAGCGAGCTGATCCCGCGCTCCTGGAGAAGATCGTGGACGCCCTCTGCGACAGCAGCGTCGACGCCGTCCTACCGCCCACACTCTTCGGGCGCCGCGGCGCCGCCGGACTCCAGCGCCGCCCAAGAAGCGACAGCCGCCCTGCGGCAGGCCTGCCCTCGACCGGCCGGGCCACGCGCGCGAAAGGAACGATGGTGCGACGGCATGTCGAACCCCAGGCCAGCAGAGCGCACCGGCAGCCCCGTCTGCTCGACCTCCTCCTCGGTGAGGGCCTCGACCGACTCGTCGATCGCGGCCGCAACTGCTCGCAGAACGTGCTGGTCAAGAACGCGGACGTGTGGCAGCAACACGCTGCAGGGTAAGACTCCCGCGCCGCAGTCCAACGCGTACGCGACGACGCCGCCGCACGGTGCGAGGCCCGCCTGCTTCGCGGACGCCAGCGGCGCGAGCTGCACCATCTCCAGGACTGCTTCGGCCAGGCGGCGCGCCCTGTCCAGGCGCCTAGCCGTAGGCTGGGGGATCGCGCCGCCAGCGCCTGCGTACAGCGGGACCTCAAGGTCGCCGCGCGCCTCCGTCCCCAGAAGCACAGGACCGTCGGGGCTGTACTGGATGCGGTCGGCGAGCGCACGAGCAGCATCCGGGAGGTTCTCGGGGCGGGTGCCAGCCAAGACGGGGATGTGGAAGGCGCACTTCGCGAGCTGCAGCGGCAAATTTCGGGCTGCCGCTGCGCCGACTATGACCTCCAACAAGGTGCACGCCACGGGTAGGGGCACCTGGACGATCCAGTCGTCCATGTACAACCAATGCAATATGCTGCGGCGGTGCGCGGCGAGGCGCGGGTCGCTGACGACAATCTCCAAAATGACCGCGATGACTATGCAAAACTCGGGAAGGCCGTCCGGGTTGCCTTCCGCGAGACTGCCGTAGATAGTGAAGGAGTGCCATCCGTGACCAACAGAGTCCTGCAGGTGAACACGTAACCGCCCTCCCCACAGCAGAACGGCCAAAGACACCGCGAGCTTGGGCTGCAGCTTCTGCTCCCCCGTCCCTGCTCCGCCCCATCGTCCTTTCCCTCCTCCCTCGCACATCTCATCGCCCTCTCGCTCATCTCACTCCGATTCCCTATCATCACCAACAAGCTCAACCTCCTCTTTATCGTCGTCGTCGTCGTCGTCGTCGTCGTCGTCGTCGTCGCCGCTCCGTCTTGTCGACGAGTTCGTCGTGGTCGCCGTTGCCAGAACTTTCGCCGCCGCCGCCGCCGCAGTGAACGCCGTCGTCGCAACCATCGCTGCCGTCCGCTGCCGCCGCCGTCGCCGCCGTCCGCTGCCGCCGCCGTCGCCGCAGCCGCTGCTGTCGCCGTCGTCGCCGCAGTCGCCGTCCGCTGCCGCCGCTGCCGTCGCTGCTGTCGCCGTCAGTGCCGTCGCCCCTGCGGAGGGCGCGGACCGCGAGCGGGAATCTCTCCTGCGGCTCGGGCTCCGGCGGCGGCTCGGGGAGCGCCTCCTGGGCGACGGGGGCGGGGAGAAGGGAAAGGGGGTTACAAAGAAGTGGGGGAAGAAAGGAGCTCTCGCGCCATGAACAAACATACACGAAGCCAGGACGGGGACAGATTCAGACCAGGAAGGAGCGGGGATCTCTGAGATCTGGCGGTTCTAAAAGCGTGTATCGGGCGCCGCGGTGTTTCCGGAGCGATCCAACATGCTCTGGGAGCTCTCCGGAAGGCTCTGGGATGATTTTTCCTAGTCCCGGACCTGCTCACGGCTGACCTTTTCTATGATTTTCGGCCTCTCGGGGCCACGCGGTAAAACGAGTCTCAGGATAAGAAGCCGGCCCTCGGCAAGGGGTCCTGGCCTCCGGGTCTCCTGGACAAGCGGCCTGGCCACGGCAAGAGCAGGCCACGCAGCTGGGCGAGACGCGAGGGCCAGCGCCACGGCTGAGAGAGACCTCGGCAAACGTGTGCACACTGATCCAAGCCTGCGCGGGGCAGTACTAGGACTTACGCGAGGGCTGGTAATCACTCGAGGGCCGAGCTGCCCAGGTCAGCCTCCCCACTCGAAGAAGATTCGGCGCTCCAGCGGGCCCTCCATGTATGCACGCAGCCAATGACATGCCACGAAGTCGGGCGCAGGGCAGCACGCAGCCAAGAGGCGATGGGCGGC